GGGAGACCTTCCACTTAGACCAGGTTGCTCAGAGGTCCCATCTGACCTGGTCTTTCAAGTTGTCTCAAAGCCATCTTGAAGTTAGCAGATCCTCAGAGTCTCAAAGACCCCTTGAGTCCTGCTGAGGTTGGAGGTCTTTCTCACTCATCCCAGGTGGTGACTGAGCAAGCACATTCCGCCCTAAGCTTTTCTAAGTGTTCACATCCAGTAGCAAGAAACGTCCCCTTACACTGCCTCATGGCCTGATCTTCGAGACAAGTCACTGAAGCTCTTGAAGAGTGAAATAGTTATGTCTAAGAGTCATATTTCTGTTAGATCATGGATATTTTAACCTCCCTCTACAGCCCTTTAGAGGAGTTGAAGTGATCTGCTGCATTTTCCATCTGCCTTTCTTTAAGTATGTTGTGAAAGTAATGGCTAAAAAAGACAACACATATAAGTACAAGTTTAAACATTTCCTTTATGCTTTAACTTCATAGTTGGCATTCAGTGAATTGTAACAGCATCTCACATGCACATGTGCCATTTTTCAAGGCATTAATGTTGCTAGATGGAGTATTGTCAGCCAAGAAGCACTTTTTTTGTTTTCTGATAACATTCAGAAAGGAAAAGTAGACGAGGAATTGGTGTGGGGTATATCCTGATGAATTATTTTAGTCTTCCTCTGACTATACCCCCTGTACTCCCTTTCTTATCCCTGTTAGATGTTAATCCTTCATTCCCTGCTCCCCCACCCCTAAAATGAGTCATCCAGGTAATTTTAAAGCTTTTTCTCTCAACAGATAATAGTGTGGAGCCACACATATTATTCTCTACTTGTCATATGTATTGGATTATCATCTAAATTACATCATAAAACAGGACGAAGCAAGCAGTTGTGTTTGCCCTACCTACTGCTTAGCTCAGCTGAGCTGATAAGTTAATGTGGTGAACATATCTGCAAGGTGGAGGTATTCTTGTTTAAAAAAGTCTGGGGCTGGGGTTTATTTCCTAGGTAGGAGTTGAGTGCTGGGACGGGAAAAAAAGCTGAAAACTAGAGAGTATTTTATTTTGCATTGGCATTTGGTTGTGAAATTGAGTACTTCTAATGAATTTCCATCATCAGCTTATTGCAATTAATACAATATAGCTTATGTTGAAATCTATAAACTTTTTGCTCGATCATGTTTCTTTTAATATGTATAGTTCTGAGCAATCACAAATCCATAATGAAAGAGAATTTAGGAGTGTTTCTTTAATCTTGCTACATGCTCTCTTCTTTCTTTGTTAGTAGGTATTAATGTTACAGTTTTTTTGAGAGTATTGAAATACAATGCTGGACAGGTTCCTCAATGTGTTCCTTTATTAAAATGTTCATCTTTTTTATATAAAAAAATCATTCTGATTCACCATCCTGTCAGTGCTGTAGTGAAGAAAGGATTCCCCCGTTAGGATAATTGCCATCTCATTATTTTTTTGAGCCTGAAGCTACCTAGTAAATCATGGAAGCCTACTGTGAGAAAGACAGTCCTATTTTAACAAATCCTTCTTGCTTTTGCTTCTTTGTAAGAGTTGCTTCTATTAAAATTGCACTTTTAAGAGCTTCTTGTGCTTTATTCACCTCATGATGTAATTTACATATAAACTTTTGTGTTGTATTTAAGCTAACATACATTTTTTTTCTGTGGTGCTTCTGAAGTGAAGAAATACTTGCTATGGTTGTACTAGTCTAGAGTTTCTAAGAACACAGTCAAATGAAAATTCACTAGTTTTCTTCGCAGGAGTCAGTTTGTATATTGTCCTGTTATTTTTGTATATAGAGATGTGAATGTATAAGCTCCTACGTGCATATCATACGGTATCGGGTTTCATTATGTTGTAACATAAGTACACGCAGCAGAGAGGAGCAAAGAGCTGAAGTGTTTGGGACAGAAGGGTTAATACCATACCTTAATGCGTGTGGATGATGCCATTTGTGAGCTCTGAGGTGTCTGACCACTTCCATTTTGGTGTAAATCCCTTGAAAGGGAAAGCATTTCAGAGCGAGGTGTGATCTGTTCTCCTGGTAGGAATGATTGACAAGGAATGAATAAACAGTTAAAAGAACTGAATAAATACCACCCTCTTGTTTAAGTCCAGGCACACCCTGGCTGGCACATTTATATTCTAATGCGACACTTCAGCCAGGTGCTTTAGTTGTTTGGTAGCAAAAAACATTCCCAAAAAGCCAAATCATAGTTCAATCTCAACTTCTTCTGATAAGAGTTTTCTTTTATAGTAGCATTTTAGTGGTGATTTGAATAAATACAGGGAATTACAGTATTTTGCAAATAGGATGTGATGATATACATATGCAAGGTGATGGAGGCCTCTTGAGTGAAAGCAGGGGCTTTGACAGCAGGTTCTTGGTCAATTGGTGAGGCGAAATGGTTCACTGAATTGGATAACACAGTGCATACACAGTGACTGATTAAACTGATTTGTCCATGGCTACTGCCTCTCCTGGTACAGAGGCCCTTTAACCTATTTTCAAACTTTTTCTTTTTTAAACCATTCTAAATACATGTGATATTAAGGGGAAAAAGGAAGTGAAAATGCATTCACAGCTATAAAATTCTATATTCTGAATTAAGGTAAAATACACAATTTCCAGAATGTCTGCACACTCCCATGTTATACCATATTATACTATACTTATCCCGGGGACAAGTACACTGCTAGAAACCAATGATAAAGATAATAATAAACATCATTCTGTAATATCACCTAAATTGCAATCAATACTACATTTGTGAATTCTTAGATGTATTTATTGAAATGGGAGAAAGTAAAACACTTAGGGGTTTTTTGTTGATGGTCTTCTTTTTTTTCTCTAACTGCAAGTTTTACTTACTTCCTTATTATTTTATCCAGAAGGTGTTTAGAATGCTTGTAGTGAAAGCATAGCGGAATGCCAGTTAAGAAGACCGAATGCTACTGTTAAATGTGAGGTACCTAACTGAAAATATCTGCAATGATTTGGGGAAAAGTAGTCAGATAGATATTGTTTAATAACTTGCAAATTACTTTTTTAACTATAGAAGAGAAAAGCTTGGTGTTTTGGTCTTAGATCAGTATGCTTGTATTTGACAACATATTTAGCATGTCATTTCCCTTCCTATGCTAGGGAAATCAATACTAAGTGATAACGGGGCTTGTACATGCTATTTTCTTTGTGATTCAAGGGGAGCTTTATATTGTGTGTTTCTTCCTGGGTTAGTCTGTAGTATACGCAGGCAGACAAATTCCATTGAAAAATCACATCAAACTTCAGTGCAATGGTGACATGGAAGCAGTTCACCTAAAATAATGTTATCGCCGTTGTAGAAGTGCAGAGTTCTTTGTACTGGATTTGGTTTCTTGTTTCGTGTTTCTTATTCATTTTTAGGGAAGATAGAGCAATGTAATTACAATAATTTCTGAAAGGATAATGAAGTTCTATTCATCATTTAACCTGTTTAAATTATAGATCAGTCTTGTAGGACATGACAGCATACATACAGCATACCATGAGTAACTTGTGCTGTATTTTCATTTGTCTGTGGAAATAAAGATAGTTAGTATCTTGCTACTTGTAATGAAGAGATAAGAAGAGGTAGGTGCCAGGGATTGTTTCTTGGAGTGGATTTGCAAATGTTAACAGCCATTTTGCAGTCTTTTTTAAAATCATGCAGGTTTTATCAATAGCATTTCTTTGCAAGGTAGAGTTCAGTAGGTAGGACTGGCTGTACATACAGCTTTGCATGGACTAAACTTCTTGATTTTGGATAAACTAGTAGTGACCACTTCATACTAGGTGAAGTAGTGAAACAGTGCATTGTAACTTTCAGGGAATCTGAAAATTTGAAATATTTTTAAGTGGGCTGGAGCCAGAACATGCTGCATTATTTTGTACATATAGTTAGTTATAGTTACAGTCTTTTTTTTTAATCCTTAAATTGACTCCACAGCCTAAATCTATGTGCAGTCAGATTTTTTTAAATTAGTTGATTAAGGGAAAGCAAAAAAAATTATTTGTTTAGTTCTTTCCAGTAGCATGTTAGTTTATTATAAATCAAATGTCTATGCATTCAGTGCAAGTTTTATAAAACAAAGAAACAGAAACCATACAAAAATAGCCAAAATAGAAAGCTCAGTGGTGCACATAAGGTCACCATGCCAAAGGCGTGTAATTATTTCTTTGTATCTTGTGTTAGAATAATGTAATCCAATAACTGGCGTTCCTGGTGCGTGTTACAAAGGATTCAATAAGGAATAGCTGGAGATTTCTTCAGGTCTCCCCTGCCTTACAAGGTTAATAGAAGAGTCTTTGTGGGTTTCAGCCATGTTTGAGAAGTTTGGCTGAAGGAGGCTCTGCACCCCTCGGCTCCTGGGCAGCGCATCCCCTGGAAAATTGGCACCCCGGGTCACAACCGTGTGGCTTGGGAGTTTTGAGAGAAAACAAACAAACGCTGTTTTATGACTCTTTGCCAGGGCTTTGCTGATTTTGTTTTGAATTGAAACCGTAAATGCCATTACAGACCCCCTGCCCCCGACTGTAAAGTTTTGGGCCAGAGCCTCGCCTGGCCGTGCCTTGGCTGAGCCAGAGGAGGCGAGGTGCCGGGCCCTCGGACAGAGCCAGAGCCGGGCTCGTGGCAGGGCACCGCGGCCCTCCTCTAGTTTGGGATTCCCTGGCCGAAAGCACCGTGTCCATCGGCAGCCCGAGCATCTCCGCGCGGCGCGTTTCGCTGTGGCGCGGCCCGGGAGCGGGGTTGGCGCTGGTGCCGCCGCTCCGCGCCCCGCGGTGTTCGCTCCGGCGGCGCTGAACACCGAACTCGCCGCCCCTCGGTGCTGCAAGTACCGCGGCGAGCAGAGACAGTGGGGCGGCGATGGCTGGAGATCTGGTGCCCTCTAGTGGGGCCGGAGCCTATTCCCGTAGAAAACCTTCCCGCTTGACGCTGCATTGCATAACTCTCTCTCTCTCTCTCTTTCTTTCATTTTAGATGCTACAACTGTGGTGGCCTCGACCACCACGCTAAAGAATGTAGTCTACCTCCGCAGCCAAAGAAGTGCCATTACTGTCAGAGCATCATGCACATGGTGGCTAACTGCCCCCATAAAACTGTCTCACAGCAGCCCACTAGTTCTCAGGGAAGACACGAAGCTGAACCGCAGCCTTCCACTTCTGCCTTCCTGAGAGAAGGGGGAGGAATGCACGGCTACTCGTCTCCATCATACTCTCAGGAAGGCAGGTTGGAGGTCTTGGAGCGCTCAGGCAGGTCACCACAGGAAGCTTCGTCAAGTAAGTTGTCTGCATCGCCTGAAGAACCAAACAGAAAGGGGCCTTCTGTTCAGAAAAGGAAAAAAACTTAATACATTTGTCATAATGTTCCATTTTCTTTACCCTCTTGGGATGTCTACCTCATGCAAGTACAGGGGAAATAATTACATTATCAGTAGCTGACCTGGAATTTTAACTACTGTTGAGTAACTGTGAATATTTTTTTTTCTTTAATAGACAAATCACTCCAAGCAAAATACATTTGAGCAGGGTGCATTATGTTTTACCGTCTGTATGTGTGTATGAGTGTGCATGTGCGTGTATGTATGTGTACATACCTATAAATATATATTTTTCCACCAGACCATTCTCCAACTCTCACAAGACATTACTGTGAAGCAATAGGCACAGTATCCACAAACGTTCCTGAACTCATTCGTAGAACCTGTTTCCAAACATGTTCAAAAAACAAACAAGAAAACCCAAAAAAATCTCACTCAGAAATAAACCAAACCTGATAAACCACACCCAGAACTGAGAGTGAGACTGTTACTTCTCTTGTAAATGAAAGGATACTTTCATATTTTAAAGCTGCCATATGGTACTAAAGATACTAAGACATCCTCCATGCCATCAATTTGAGTTATTTTCTTTTTATCTCCACAAAGCATCAAAACCCCTCCCCATGCCGGTGCAGGGCAGTGTCATGACTCAACATGGCTCTCATTGCCACCACCGGTTGTTGGTGAGGGGTTTAAAGCTCCAGAAGAGACAATGAATGTGTAGTTTCTGTGCTGGTTTCTCAAAACGTTTTGTTAAATTAATGTGGTTGTAACTGTAATTTAGATGTCTGTTGTGTAGGGGAGAATGTATAAGTTGTTACCAAACAGACCCTTTTGAGTGGTATCAGGATACCATCCTGTTTAGCCCTTTGTATTCTGTGAACATTTAGGGGACCTTGGTGGCAGTAGTAGCAGCAGCAGCAGCAATTTCTCTTGATCCCAAGTAGTACCCCTCAGCTTGAAGGGTCTTCTCCCTTGTTTTTTGCTGAAATGCCATGGAGAGAACTCCCTAGGGATTTTTGTTGTTGTCGTCTGTTTGAGTTTTAAACAAAACAAAATACAAAGTTAATGAGATCCTGGGCTAAATAGTTTCTTAAGAAGAAAGGTTGATGGGTACTTAGATCAGGATGTTTGGGATTGCTCGGTCAGCCTTCCTTGCTGATGATACAGCATGTGTGCAGACCAGCCTGAGTGAAGGGACCTGCACATTTTTCAGAAGCCCTGGGCATCATCTGCTTCTTGTGAACTGGAGGCTGTTGTTGACCAGCCTTTGTCCACAGTGCACTAGGACCACACACTTCTGTGTTAAAGAGGAGAAAGATTGGTGGCCTTAGAGTGAGACTCCCTGGGCTGCAGGCCTTGCTCGGGGTTAATAGAATTGGAGCCTATCAAAACTTCAAGTCGCTTTCCATTTGTAACTTCTGAATTACCAAGTCATACGTAAGATAACGTACTCTGACAAATCCCATTGTGGATGTAAGTTAATTAGAGAAACCTGTATAATCCTTAACATTGGCAATAAACACAGGCTGTTAAAGCTTGAAAGTGTCGGGTAGGTTTAAGCTCGGATAATCAAACTAAAGAAACAGCCTGCATGAAAGGCTGCAGTGAGCCAAAGTCCCACCCGTGGTAACTCTTTTGCAGCCGATAGTTACAACAGGTATGCAGCTGGCTCATTACGTGGCCTTCCCCTTCCCACTTGTCCTGCCAGATGAGACTTTTACTGGTGCTGCTGCTGCTTCAGTAAAGAGGTAGTAATCAAACGCCTCAGTGAAGGGCACAATTTCAAGAGAATTATTTTGTGTGAATTCCTTGCCAGTGTTTGTGAGAATCTTGAGGTTTATACTGAAGTTCTCAGTATGCTAATGCAAAGCTTACCTTTGACGATATTGAATGTGATATATCTATAGAGAACTTCCTTGCCTTACGTAAGGATAGTAAACTTATTTAAATTATGTAGACAAATCAAAGTGGCATTGCTTAACCTTCTAGTTGGTGTAAAAACCAGGTTAAACAGCAAAGATGCAAAACTTAGGTCACTTTGAAGTTCTAAACCAAAGTTCCTTATAGAAATAGGCAGTTGTGGATTTGAAAACTGGTCATTCCCTGTTTATATGTAAGAAGTTCAGAGCTGTGATAAGGAAATATTTTCAACATGCAGATTGTTATTGGTGCTGTTTAAAATCACTGTGCACACCAAAGTCAGACTGAACTGCTAAGAGCACATACCAAACCCTATCTTATTATTAAAAGCTTGAGGTTTTATTTTTATATATTAAAATGTTATCACTGTTACATAACATACTCAGGACAAAGAACTTTGCTCAGGGAATATACCATGTAATATTGTTTTTTCTTTACAGAATAGTCTACAGACCTGCTTACTCAGAACAAACCAAATAGTCTTATACTTTTTTATCTCTATATAAGTATTATGTACTGATATTAGTAACTACCTCTGAGTTGACATAGACCTACGTTTCTGATAATCAGATCTCAACATTTTGTATTATAAGTTCCTGTGAAATGATAAAGTGGTATTCTGTACTGGTTGTTTATGTGAGCATCTGTGTCTTTACATTCACAGGGTCTGAGTTTTCAGATATGCTGGGCAACCACAGCTCCCACTGACTTTCAGTCGGAGTTACTGGTGCTTAGCTTTTCTAGGAGGGGAGGGATGTAGGACGGAGGGGTGGAGGCGGAAGAATAAAAACACTGAAACATCAAACCTACTTATTTACATAGGTGACAATAAAATTATTTTTCTGTTTACAGCAAAAGGCTACCTCATATTTACTGCATAAACACACCTTTGTGCTGCTCTAGCCTTAAAGGTGGCTGTTGATCTATGGTACATACTTTTTATCTGTACTAAATATGTAACTGTTAGTTCACCACTGCAGACATTATGGCAAATACTTGTTTAAGATGAAGCATCCATTTGAAATTATGAGACGTTTCCAAACATTTCTTTGACAGTTTTTATTTTTCTATCTAGAGGATTATGGGCACTGTTCACAAAAATAAATATAGCTCCAGAAGAGACAAAAATGTACATGCGTTAAGTTAAACATATATAGCAGCATAAGCTGCAGCAGGGAACTACTTAGCACTGGGCTGCAGTAGGAAAAAATCTAGTTATACTCCTTCAATAGGCTGATCCAAATAAGCAAAAAACCCTTTAAAGGAGGAGGAACAGACTAAGTTTAGGGTTCTTCCTTCATGTCTAAGGACAAAATTAATATTCTGCAGCGTTTGCTCAGGCTAGATTTCCCCCTATTCACCAGCTTGTCCTTGCCAGAATGCTTCACAATAAAACTCGTTAGAGTAGAAATAGTTCAAATATCTGCTTAGAGAGATGTATTTTTCTCCTAACAATAGTGGAGATAAGGTTAAACCCGGAGCAAGAATCTCTCTCCCTCCCATTTCCCCACCCCGGAGTACTCAATTTAATTGTAAGAGACACTGTGAGGTATTTTTTACTCTTCCCCAAGGAAAGGTCATGATATTTAATTACATGCTACAAAAGTTAGGCCATGAGGAAGACTTATATTTGGAGAAAGAGCCAAATAACTTTTTGCTGCAATTAATGGTAAATCTGGCATTGTAATACCATTTGCAATATTTTGCTTTTAGCCAGCTTTCAGGGAGTGCCAAACACCACATTTGGATCCTACAGCTTCCCTTTGCAGGCCACCTTTTTCAGCCATTTTGTTCTATACCAGTGTTATCCTGGAGTTCCTTATTGGTCATACTTAGTTTTGTTAATAGAGCCCCATAAAAAAAAAAGTGCTTATAGATCTTGTAACATTCTTTGTAAGAAGAATTATAAAAGAACATGGGAAATCTCATTGAGTCTTAAATTTAATTTAATTAATTTATCTGTAAGAAATGTTTATCATAAAAAATATATATGTATTCCCCGGTGTTAGATATAAAAGTAATTGGGAAGATATGTACATGTGCAGATGCACTGATTTTAATTTTCTAGAAGTCTTAATGAGATTTGAGTATTGCTTTAGGAACAAGAAGAGCCTTGTTAAATGCATCGGTCTTATTTTGCTTAGTATATCAACAGCCTCTTCTTTAAGATCCGGTGGTTGTGTTACCCCTGTTACAACTGTAGAGGTTGATCTATGAACACATGCTTCTTTTTTTCCTGTATAAACCGGAGCTGTATATTAGCAGCTGTGGCAGTGTTTTTCTGAGAATGTTGAAGAGTAGCAAGGTATTTGCTACCATTGTCATTGAACGAAATACATGAGCAACCATCTTTACAAAGGATAATGGTTTTGACTACCTCTTGAATTACTAAGTTAAGCAACAACTGTCTGACAAACATCACCAGACTGGCTTAAACTAGTATGTGTTGCTTGTGGTAATAATAAAAATAACCATACTAGAGACCAAAGTGAACACTGATTTCTGTATGTCTTTAATACTGTGTCTTATCTAGTGTTTTTAAATTATCTTCTGTAGTATAGATTACCTCATTGTCCATTTTGACTTGTATGTTGTTTACAAGGTGAAATAAAAGAAAAATCACTTGAATTTTGTGTTTTAAGAAAAAGACCGCGAGTTGAAGTTTTGAAGATCATTTCACCTGTTTACTGTCTTGAGGGACTAAAGCACTGATTGCCTTTCTACATATCATGTATTTTATATTCTCATTTCATGCCTAATGTCTTTTTTTTCCTGTCAGTCGTGGATATCGTGAGGTTTAAAAGATTTACTTGATTAAAAATAAAACATATAACGTTGGCATTTACAATGAGCCTTTGAGATTTGCTTTATTTGCATGGTAAAAACGCACTGCACAGCCACTGGGCAATTTTCATTTGCACCTGTGCTCACTTAGTTTTGGGATATTGCCTTCAGAAAATATAATTTTAGTTATATAAGCTATTGTTGGGAGGAGGGAGGAATAAATGATTAATGCATACGTGGATCATACTAACAGTGCTGCAGCAATTGCACCCCAGACTCCATTCAGCTATCAAAATTAAACTGCAAAATTATAGCTTTTGGTACTATGAGAATACACTGGTCATTAAAGTTATCAGGCATTTGGCTTATTCTCTGGGATGAAAAGCTTTTGGTGTTTTAAGCCTCATCCCATTTTAATTACTTCTTCCATAATCTGTAAGCTTGTACATACCTATTTCATACCAATTTAAAATGAATTGGTGTTTCTTTTTTAGATAGGAAAATGCTGTCATTTTTCATTATCTGGAAATTCCTTCTCTAAATTACATAAAATCTGTTAGTGAGTTGGATAGCAATAGCTCATCATTCTGTATTAAAATATTTAAGGGCTTGTGTATGCCAGCTCCAGTGCTTCTGTTTCTACACATGTAGGTGATTAATAGCAAAATTTAAGTCTCTGCTAAATACAGGGCAGAAAATATTTTTTTCTATTTGTGCAAACACCTGCATGAAAGGGTTACCATCTACTACTCTTCTAGTCATGAAACACTTCCATTTACTTCCCCTCACCTCACCCCTCTAATTCTTGGCCCCAAAAAAGAGTGATCTGTGAAGATGTGTCCAATCACATCCAGTCGTGTCTGCACCCCCCCCCCCCCAACCTGTAGCCAGATGGTTTCGTCACTTTCCTGGAATGTGGGAAGAGGTAATTCAATCCCCTTGGTTAAGATCCCCCACGTGTCCCACTTCTTGAGTCAGTCACGAGCAGCGAGGCTATCTTTAAAACATCTGATGATGTGTTCTCTGAAGAACACAGTTCACACCATGTTGTTACATGTGCTCCTGGCCGCCCTGACCCCAGTGCTTCAGGGAAGGGACTCCTTATGCATGCCACCATCCCACTCCTAGAGCACCCTACAAGATGACACAGGCAGAAGCAAGCCACCTCAGGGAGCGGTGAGCAGCTCTGGCCATGCTCAGATGTAAGAAGCCCTTGGTACAAGTGAAATGGAGAAACTTCCTCTCCAGCAATATCTAATGCTGACTGAAACCAAAGCACCTGGAAGAGCAGCAACACCTAGTTCTTCCCACCTCGTCTCCCACATGTGCAGGCCTCCCTCCCAGAGCCACTAGAAGTCAGCAGTCTTTATCCTTTCAGCAGTTCCCCCAGGACAGTTCAGAATACTGTCTTCATGTTATAGCCAGGAAGTATTGTCCTGTGCATTAGGCAAAGGCAGATCAGCAGCAGTACCTAAATCCACTGCTACAAGCCAAGGCCTCCTAACCTTGCAGAGAAGTTGTCACTGCCATGTGGCATTAACAACAACATTGATTCATGCCAACAAGAAAAAATCCTTGGGTTGAAACTTCCAAATGAGTCAACAGAGTAACATCAGAATCACAGCAGTCTTTTGAAATAGTAATAAAAGCAGTGTGTTCATTTTCAGGGTCTTGGGATGCATGCTTCCAAGCTGTTTCCAGCCTTTCTGTAACCCTAAGTGCCAAAACAAATGCAGCCATTTTTGGAAGAATTGTTTTTTGCAATCTGTTTGGACCAGGAGCCGTTTACACAAACCAGTCATTTCAAAATTACTCATAATTTATGAAAGACTCTGAAAGACTCTTTCGCTCCACACCAGTCCACTTTTCCCTGATAATAAAAATATCCCAGATGCAAATAATTTCACGTACTTTCAAGTTGTTTACATAATTAGCACTCTCATTTCCTGAATAGTTGCATAGGAAGACACTCTGTGGTGGAGAGGATGTTCATTCTGTGGATATCCTCCTCTTGTTTACTAGTATAATCTAGATGATGCCCTCATTAATTAGAGTAAACACCTTTTCAGCAAAGCACTCTGCTGTTCCCAGTGTCATCTGCTGCCAGCAATGCTGTTGACCTCCAGGACAACCAGTCCCCTCAAGAGCAGGTTACTCTGCACCGGTTATTATTTTTTTACAAGCATTGCCCACTGTATGATTGCAGAAGAGTTGCCATCAAGCCCCAGGCACCTTTTCGGGCTGCTGATGCTCAGTTAACATGCAGCTGGTCAATTTTTGTTTGCTGGCTGTTCAATATTTAGCCCCAGGCTTTACTTGCTGCACAACACTTAGCCTAAATACTCAGAGCTGGAGCAACCAGACAGTTCAAAAAACAACAAAGATGGACTGGTGGTGTTACTCCTGCTGTACCAGCCAGTAGAACGTGGACTAGGGGAGAAAGAATAACAAGTACTGACCTTAGGTATCCATCCAGGTTTAGATGCTTACAACTCATTTATTTCTAAATAATCCAGAATTCAAAGTGAGGAAGTACCAGTTGTTTATCTAGTTTGACCTGCTGCATGGCACAGGCTATTAAATTCAGTGCAGTTACTATAGCATTGAATTTTAGCACTCAGCTTTAACTGGAGCTGTGTTTGCTTGGGTGCTTTAGAGCATATTTTCCACTTGGGCTTCAGATCAGGCCTGACTGCTTTTGAGAAAATAAGAGATGCTCTGCTCCATGACAGCTTGGTTTAATCACCTGCTGCTAACAAGTAGTGCCTCATTTCCAGTTCCACTGGCCTCAACTTCCAGCTCTTTGTCCACTATAGTAAAAAGTCCTATGTGCACCAGTAAGAAAATTCAACCCTCTTTTTTTTTTCTTTTTAAAATTATAGACAAGACATATTTTTTTGAGTGGGGGAGGGGGGACTGGGGATTTTGGTTTTTTGTTTTTTAATGTGGAGCTACCTCCTCATCATAATTTTGAGAAACTCTCTACTTGCCTCCTTCCCAATTCTTCTTTATGCTGGAATAGCACATCAGCACTGGCTTTAAAATCATCCTTGTTGCACTGCCACAGTCTTGGTCTTCAGTATCCTATATCCTAGAAAACTAGTTCTTTTGTCTTCTTTCCCTTTTAGAAATGTGCTGGATTATCATGCACTAGCTTCTTTAAAGCAATTAGCCAAAAACACCCCACCAAAACCAAACCAAACAAAATAATAATTAAAAAAGAAAACCAAAACCACTTCACTTCGAGCATCCAAAATGTTTGCAGCAACTAGAAAAATGTATAGAATATCAGAATAATGTATAAGTAAAATTTGGAAGTATTTTGGGAGCTGCCTACGAAAGAAAGCCGAAATGCCGTTTCTCCCCCAAGGCAGCACAGCAAGGGTGGGGGCTTGAAGCACAGCAAGTTCCTTTCCATTCACTCCCCATTTCTTTCATCTCTCCTTGACCTACACTGACAGCTGTGACAAAAAGTCACAGTCAAGCCTGCTGAACCGTAACTTCTTTGGAGTTTCAAGCCTGAGAGTTTCTGAAAAGCAGCTGTCTTGCACAAAGCTGCACAGAGAGGAGCAGAGGCTGCCCCCACAGAGACTCTCTGCTCGGCAGCCACAGCGTGGGAGGGTGAAGGGGACAGGCACAAGCACCACTCCAGCAGTCCCTGAGCCCTACGATCTGTGCCTCTGTCAGTGAAAGCTAAGGGGAATTAAAGTAAAAAGAACTGCAGGAACAGACATATGGTTTCAGCACCAGGTGATTAAAAAAAAAAAAAAAAAAAAAAAAAAAAAAAGTAAAGAAAAAAGAAAAGAGGGCAAGGTTTTCTAGCCCCTCTGACCCAAGAATATGGAAAATATAGGATTACTGGCAGCTCCTGCAGTTTGAGGATAGCCTATCAGGAGGCTTCAAGGAGCAGCAATAGGCTCAAGTCCCCTTCCATCTGTTTCAGTAATGCTCCATTTTCAGCCCAGGGACTGCAGTTTGCTTCTCCGAATGGCTCATGAAGAAGTGATAGCCCTGAGTCGACCTGAATACTAAAAGCTACAGCCTTTTTCCCCTGCCAGTGCTGGTTTTGCATGGCAAGGTTTAGGTTGGAGGTGGTAAGGGAGCAGTTTACACAGTTGGCTTCTGTGAGGAACTGCTAGAAGCTTCCCCCATGCCTGACAGAGCCAAGGTCAGTGAAAAAGGAGGGGGAGGAGGTGGTCCAGGCACCAGAGATTCACCTGCAGCCCATGGTGAAGACCACGGTGAGGCAGGCTGTGCCCTTACAGGAGGTCCATGGTGGAGCAGAGATCTACCTGCAGCCCATGGAGGACCCCATGCCAAAGCAGGTGGATTCCCAAGGGAGGCTGTGACCCCATGAGAAGCCCACACTGGAGCAGGCTTCTGGCAGGATCTGTGATCCTGTGGAGAGAGGAGTCAACTCTGGAGCAGATTTGCTGGCAGGAATTGTGACCTCGTGGGGGACCCAGGCTGGAGCAGTCTGTTCCTGAAGTTTGCATGCCATGGAAGGGATGCACACTGGAGCAGTTCATGAAAAACTGCAGCCTGTGGGAACGACTCATTTCACTGAAGAAGTTTATGAAGGACTCTCTTCTGTGGGAGAGACCTATGCTGGAGCAGGGGAAGAGTGTGAGGATTCCTCCCCCTGAGGAGGAAGGAGCAGCAGAAACAACCTGTGATGAACTGACCACAATCCCCATTCCCCATCCCCCTGCATCACTGGTGGGGAAGAGGTAGAGATTTTGGGAAAAAAATTAAGCCCAGAAAAAGGGGTGGGGGGAAGGTGTTTTTAGGATTTAGTTTTATTTCTTATGAACCTACTGTGATTTGACTGGCAATAAATTACACTACTTTCCCCAAGCTTAGTCTGTTTTGCCTGTGACAGTGACTGGTGAGTGATCTCTCCCTGTCCTTACCTTGAACCACAAGCCTTTCATTACATTCTCCCTCCCCTGTCCAGCTGAGGAGGGGAGTGGGAGAGCAGCTTTGGTGGGCACTTGGCATCTAGCTAGGGTCAGCCCACGACACTGCCCAAAGTCAAGAACATTTCACCTTGAGCCAGTACTA